TTTGAAGAAGAATGTGAAATATTTTATAGTTCAGAGTAGTAAGGAGCCAGTAGAGGTTTAGTCATAAGACAAATGTAAATAAATCTGAAAAGTAGTTCTGATAATAGATGGAAACAGAATAAGGAATTCAAAAGATTGAATAAGAAACTGGTAATGCCAGTCAGAAAGGGAAAGAGGATGAAAAAAAATGACCTAAATCACCTGTGATAGACCTGGAGTTCACAGCACTGGCCTCAACAAGGGCTACTAAGAATTACATGATGGCTTTTAAATACCCTGAAATTCAGGTCCCACGGAAACTCTTTCATATGTCTTCACACACTCTACACTTTATTTTCTGTTGCTTGCTTTCTTTGTAATGCTCCTGCTTAGATCCTAAAAGTTCACTATACAGTCAGTTCATTAATGGACATAACTAAGGATATAACTATTGGTATAGAATTTCTCTTCTGTTCCACAACAAATTGAAGAACAAGGTCAAATGACAATCTTTCTTAACCAAATAATCCCATCTATTCTCAGATGACCATAACCACTAAATGTGTTTGCAGTGAACGACTTCAGTTTTTCCACAGAGGATTCCCAGTGGTGATTTGCTTCACTTGTCAAGTCTAGGCCAGAGTACTTATCAGAATGCAGTTCTAGTGTGTCCTAAATACAGGAGATCATGTAGTCACTGCATGATGATCCAGCTTGTCGTGTATGTCTATGATTTATCTTTGGGGCTCAAATGAGTTTAAAGATATCTTTTAGCACTTATCTATTAGTTAAATGCAATGTATTTAAATAAAATCATTAGAATAGGATGTACATATTAATGTATCCACCCCAGCACAGCTTTCTTCTCTTTTGTTTTCATTTTATTTTAAATTATACCATGTTTTCAGTAGTTTATGCCACAAAAGAGATATGCAAGATTTACAGGAAATACCGTGATAGTATAAGTGAGTTACTTATTTTACTCTCACATTAACTGGACACATTCTATTTATAATCACATTCTATTTGCAATGACACACCTTATTCAATCTGAGGTTTTATCTGTACACTATATTAGGACCTGTTAAGAGCAATTTGTATGTTATAGAAATATGTCTTTCAGCTTTCTTTATTCCAAGTGCAGTTCATTAGATATGCTTGATATTTTCATGAACTATATGTTTAAAAACTATGGCAAGATATGTTGGAGGAAATTATCTTTCAAGGTTTTTTATTGGTGGGTCAATTGACGTACTGTGAACTGAATATATGTATATACTCCAATGTCAGGCTCTAAAGTTCACATATTTTCTCATTAGGAAACCCTTCATGAAGCATGCGTACATGTGGAGGTATGTATACCCCAAAATAAATAGTTACAGAAATGATGAGAAAATCAGTAAAATTTGAGAAGAAAATCCTCTTGGAACATTTATTCTTGTTTATGCTCTTGAAACAGAATTGGATCAGATTGGTTTGCAAAGAAGTAAGATTGAAAAAAAAAAATCATACAAGTGCTGAAAAGTGAAAAGCAAAATTAAACCATTAAAAATGCACAGCTATCTGGAATTTTCCTGTGTGAGTGTGGGAATAAACATTTGTGCTTGTTTTATACTGTTCAGTCTAACTTCCCCAATAATCCAACTCAAGCAGGGGCTGTATGTTTACTACAAATACAAGAGCTGGACACATTAATCAGACCTACTGAATTTCAACTTAAATGGTGTTAAAAAATAAACTAAGGCATGTTAAATCTTTCTAGAGTTTTTCTCAACTAAATTGACTTGAATTAGGAAATGAAAAACTGAAAGTGTTAAGCTGTGTTCCAAGGAAGGAATCAGAGAAGAAACTTTTATGGAGAAGAGGTAGTGGGGAGCAATGAAACTACTTGTTTGGCTGTAGTTTAATCTTCGTCTTATTCAGAAAAACCTAGTTGTCTGTATGTGATTGTTTGTTTTTGATCTTAACCCTAGAGCATGTATAGGCTGAGGTTTCAGTTTGCTTGCGCAGGATGCTAAGGTATCAGAATCACCTCGCTTAAGGCCTCCTTGTTTAGTTATATTAGCACTGGGGAACATGGAGTTAATCATCTCTGAGTTTTGCAGTTCCTTTCCATTTGTTCTCTAGAGTAGTAAGGCAGGAAGGAAGCAAGAAAGAGGACTCAAGAATACTGAAAAGTAGAGTTCCCAGGAAAGTGCTATTTTGATGTTAGTTATTTCATCTATTCCCTGTCCTTTGCCAGGACTGCAAAGGACTAGTGTGATTGGTACTGTCTTGTGGATTGGCAGCATGGAAAACACTGTAACTGAACTTGTGTTATCAATACCCAAAAGAAAATGGTAATGTTTAATCAAAGAAGGGACAATTAACACCTATTTTAAAGAAAACAAAAGTTGCTTTGAAATTCTGTTTTGAAGGTTTTAAGAAAGACTATCAGGTATATTTACCCAACTTATACTATAAAGGACTGACCAACCTTTCATTGAAGATATTCCCTTGGCAAAATTATTTTTAAGGTCATTTTTATAATTAAGATAATTTAATCCATTGATCACATTATATCCGTTCATTCATTTTCTAGAGTAATATTCTGGCAAGGATCTTGTAGATTTTTAATTGTTCCTCCATAATTATTTGTGTTCATATTATCACCGCTGTGGTAGATAAACATCTTGAAAGTTGACCTAAGTGTTATACTAGGAGGTCTTACTGAGTTGTTATACAACTTTATTGCTTAGTTTGTTCTAAGCTACCTCATATATTTTTGGTAATGAGACAGAGTAGGTATATATAAAGCAAATAAAATTTATTTATGAAGCTTTGCCTAGAATCATAGTTCTTAGAGCCTGACACATCCTCAGGAAAAGCTGTCTACTCTTGCAGGTAAGATATTTTCACTCCTATTTAAAATATAGGATAACTGAAGTGCAGTGAGCTTTGTAAATTATGCTAAATACATATCAAACATATCAAAGAATAATTTCCAGACCAGGTCTTGTACATAATTTTTTCCAGTACTAAATTCTTCCTGGTCTATCATTCTTGCTACAAACGGACTGTCCACAATTAATTCAGTCATTAATTCACTCAATCAGCAAACATTTATGATCACTGTTCACAGTAGAGAATAGAATGTCATAAAAGCAATATTTTGTATACTGAAAATGACAATATTAACCATACTTAACTGAATATTTACTACTTTGAGGGACATGATCAACGCTTTACATGTATAAATTGTTTCTGGTTATTAGGTTCCTCTGTGAATTTCTTGGCCATTTCCACATTGGTTCTTTTTTCTTTTTCTTTTTTTAATAATAGTTTGTTTTATATCATTTTGTGCCTTTTCCCATCTCAGTTGTAATCCCCATGGGCTTCCCATCACCAAATCACCCATGTGTATCACCATATTCTAGTGCACCCCCCCCCCATTTTTGATCCCCTTCCTCTCCACCTTGGTTGTTTTACGCCATAATATAAGCTCTTGGAAAGGCGTGTATTGAAAACACTGCAGTAGTGTTTCTTTCTAAGTTGTATTCATTAAGGCACTAGGCAGTGGGAGATCTTTTAAGTTCATGATAAACACTTTGTCTAGAAGAATTATTAGCACATTTCTGAGTTTAAAGAGATTTTTTTTTAATTTTTTTTTAAAGATTTATTTATTTATTCATACAGAACTGGGGTACAGGCCAGAGATGCGGAGGGTGAGAGGATTCACCAGAGACAGAGTGGGGAGCAGAACAGGCAGATCGACGAAGTACACTGCTGAGGGGAGCAGCGGGCGGGTCAGGAGAGGTCTGCCACGCCATGTGGTCACCTCCGGGGCAGGCGGGAATCGAACTCATGCGGAAGCGGCTTTAGCTTCTCAGTGCTGTGCTTTAACCCGCTGTGCCATCAGGGAGGGCCCTAAAGAGAGATTTTTTAGACCATATGTCTGTGGCTAGTAGAGGTGGCCCTCACTAGTCATCTGAAATAGCTGATTTAATAGTATTATTAACTGCATTAAATATACTTAGTTTTTTTTTTTTTTTAATATTCTTGCACTGAAGGGAACATCACATCTATGATCAAATCACTGGCTCTCTTAGCCCTTTTTGAACCTATATCCTGCTAGTTATAAATCCTGTCTTGGTAATAGTTGCATAGAAGAGGGATGTTCTTCTTGATCAGAAACTGAATTTCCCATATATGTGGTATACTTTCCCCTGCTGACCCACTGAAATGAAAGACTAGGAGTAATGATTAAATCTAATTTTCCCTCCTGTAGTAGTAGGATGAGCTGGGTCAGCAAGGCTTGTCCCTGCAGATGGCTCTAAAATACCTTTGCGATTTGATCTTTTTGCCTTCCCATCCATTTCTCTAAGTGCCTATCACTGTCATCCTTTACCACCCTGACAGGATTCCAAGGTGAGAACAGCATAAATGAACAAGAGCATTTGAGATGCCTCCTGAGGTGTTGCTTATTAAATGAGCCAGGCAATGAACCAGGTCTGACTTGTGAGCTGGAAGGTAGATTAGCACATTTACACAAAGATCATTCCATTTGTTATTTAACCTGTTCAGATTCATTGCTGTATCTTTGCTGTCTGTGGCAACTCATGTGAAATGACTGTAAGAACACAGTTAATAATGTCCGACTTTTATTTTCATATATGCTGAACATTATTTGACTTAGTTTTTTTGTTTGTATTGGATTGTGTTTTCTCAGAACAACTAGAGAATATGAAATGTGTGTGGAGGGCAGGGAGGGGAGGGAATTAAAATGCATTGCTTTAGGGCTGTGCATCTGTTTTAGGGATTCTGCTGGATCTGAGCATTAACCATTGTTATGACTTGTGGGATGTCCTCAAACTGCATTTTACTTAGAGATGTTCATACTCATTCAAAATATTACAATTAAACAGATTTCATTGTTTTGACTTAGTTTCCTATTTAGGAGAATTTTATTTTCTGTTTAGTAGATAGAATATATATGTTTTAAAGCTAGTAGAAACTCATCATTTTACTTTATTTTTAAACAGATTGGCAATATCAAGTCGCTCACATCTTCCCTCAAACAGAAGAGGAAGTGGAACTAGACACATATGCTTTCAGCCACCGGTGGAAAAGGAACTCAGATTCTTTTAAGGCAGTTGACACAAACCGAGCAAGCATGGGTCAAGACTCCCCAGAGCCTCGAGGCTTTACAGACCTACTGGATGATGGGCAGGACAACACCACTCAGATTGAGGTAGTTAAGTAACCTGGGTAATTGTGTTGGAATGATGAATGCAGTTCTACTGGGGTGCTCAGTTTCCACATATACATCTAAATAAGCTTTCTTTCAGCTCACTCTAGAGCTTTGGGACTTTTTTTTTTTAATAAAGATCTATTTAATTCATTAATAAATAATTCACTTGCTAATAATCAGTAATGCAAATATAAATAATAACTATGTTAATGAAGTAATGTGATTAAACCATTTAGTCACTCATGAATTAATTTACTCATGAAACAAGCAAATATGGACATGGTGATAACAGTGAGGGGACGTGAAAATGGGTAGAATACAGCACCTGCCTGCAACATCCATTGTATACGAGGGTCTAAGTGCCATCATCAAATGATCTCATGCCGTGCTGATATGTGTAAAAGTGTATAGAGACTGTAGGCTGGCATGGATCAGAGAATGATCAACCTAGCTTATGATTGGTAGGCAAGCCATTGTTAGAGAGGCTTTCCCCAGGAGTGGTCATTTAGGAAGGGGCTCAAGAGATTGAAGGGAGTTCACTCTGTTGGTAATCTGTCAGTGGTCAGAGAGTGGCTTGCATTCACAATTTCTGAGTCAAGCCACAGAAGGCCATGATATGCTGAAATGTTTTAGAAGATGACTAAATATCTCAGTTTTCCTGGGATGGAGGGTTTCCTAATTGTGGGGCTAATCAGTGCTAACTGTTCTATAACTGGAACTAATTCTTTGTTATGGTTGGAGTCAGGAAATGGAAGGAGGATAGTAGGACGTGAATTTGGTCATCACACAAGTTTGCTTATGTCAACTTTTAGGTAGATTTGGGGGTATCCCAGAAGCTTCAAATTGCTATTATTACATGGGGGAAGTTTCTACAATCCTCAGCATTGGAATTCATAGAATATGATCTTGTTGATTCAAGATATAATAGAAACAAAGTTGTAAATTACATGGAAATAAGTGGAAGTCACCCAACTGAACAAAGGCTATTAGCTTTGCTCTTCCAAAGAAGTTATTTACTATTACTTATTTTGGTCATAGACTCAGAAACAAGAGAGTGGAAAAGTTACTCAGTTAAAAACAAGATGGCTGGCCCTCCCTGGTGGTGCAGCAGGTTAAAGCATGAGTTCAATCCCCGCCTGCCCCAGAGGTGACCCACATGGCACTGCAGACCTCTCCTGACCCGCCCGCTGCTTCCCTCAGCAGTGTACTTCGTCAATCTACCTGTTCTACTCCCCACTCTGTCTCTGGTGAAGTCTCTCACCACCCCTGCACCTCTGGTCTGTACCCCAGTTCTGTATGCATAAATAAATAAGTCTTTAAAAAAAAAGATGGCTTTAGGTATACTCTAACTAAAGTTTGTTGTCACAGAGAAGCTGGATTTGGGCTACTATTTTTGTTTTAATGATTTATTTATTTATATATACAGAACTGGGGTACAGGCCAGAGTTGCAGAGGTTTTACCAGAGACAGAGTAGGGAGCAGAACAAGCAGATATACTGAAATACACTGCTGAGAGGAGCAGCGGGCAAGACAGGAGTGGTCTGCTATACCATGTGGGTCAGCTCCCTGGCCAGGAATTGAATTCGTGCTGCAGTGGCTGCAGACAGTTTCATAGTGCTGCACTTTAACCCTTTGTGCCACCTTGGAGGGCCCTTGATTTGGGTTTCTTAGATACAGAGTATTTTAGTTGATTGGACTAGGGTGCATATATGGCTTTCTGTGCTTGGTCCTGTTTATGACACAGGAACAAAAGTAGGGGAACTATAAATTATTACTCAAGCTCTATCCATTCTAGGCTGACTGCGTTCAAATTGTACTTTGACTGCCCAGTCTGGATGCTGTAGAAGTTGGAGTTAGTGTTCTATTGTCATTTGTGGTCTGGTCATTTTCCTTTTGCATATTCTCTCTCAATGTGAAGTTTTAGTCCCTACATTTTCTCAGGTGACAGACTTATAATTTGTAAGCACCAAAGACAATATTCTCTTTAATCCCTGAAATATTCATTAGTTGGGAAAAAATATCAACTCCAGGGGAGCAGATGCTAACAGTACTGTAAGTGATTTCAGGCATCATTTTGTTCCATCATGGCAGAATCTTCAGCAAATCTGAAAAACAGTTCATTGGAATTCTGTGTATGTGATAAGCTCAACAATTTTCAAAATCCCTCTCTATTTTCTTAGCTATCGTATGCCACAGCTAGGCCCTTCACAGGCAGCTGGGAAGAGCCAGGAGCAAAATCAGAATGTCTGTAAGACTCTATTCTGACTCGTGAAGAGTGCCTGATATGTTGTTATTCACAGCTCTTAGTAAGTAACATAGCATCATTCTTCCTTGAACCTGTCTTTACCACTCTTTACACAAGGGAAAGAAAGCTAAACAGAAGCAGAGTGTTTACTTTCTGCCCAGAACTAGTACCCTACTGACATTGAAAGAGGACAACAAAATCCTAGAACTCTGTGATCGCTACACAGAATTTGAAATTTTTCTAATCTCTTGTAAAATAAAATATCTTTTCCTCTGAGATGTAAACAACATTCCTCTAAGTACAATCCCAGTTGTCATTATAGCCATGATTTTGTTATTCAGCCAGTTTGTCTCTTCTCTGCCTTAAAGGGAAGAGCACATAATGTTGGTGGTCCTGAATCAGTACAAAAGAGGAAGAGGGTGCTGGGGAGCAATTTCCTCTGTGCTCATTGGTGCTGACACCTGCCAGGTGCAGCCTGGATATCATCTTCCTTGGTCGTTACGCCAGCCTAGTGTGGCTTGTGTTCTGGATTCAGTGGTAGTGTCAGTGGCGTTTACAACAGGGTGATTTCAGGTTTAAGTGTAGCCTTTTTTGTATGGTCTCCTATTAATGAGTAAAGCAGCTGAGCTTCAAACTCAGACCTGCCCAGGTCCTAACATCTATCCTTTTTACTTGACTTTGCTTCCTCTAAAATAAAAAACAAGACAATCGCACATTGATTATATAATAATCCCGGTCGGTGACAGCACTGGAATATAGGTAATCAAAGAAGTAACTTTGGGGTTTTAACCTGGTTGGAGCGAGACATATTATTATTTTTTTATTTTATTATCATAGTTTATTTTTGCATCATTTTGTGCCTTTTTCCATCTCAGTTGTAATCTCCATGGACTTCCCATCACCAGTTCATCCATGTGCCATCACCATAGACCCGGGCACTACCCCACACCCCATTTTTTATCCCATTCCCCACTGCACCCCCACAAATTGTCTCTGGTATATAGTTGCTCGTTATTATTTTTCTCCCCCCTGGTCCTTTATGCTCCTGCTATGAGTGAAACTATCCAGTATTTTTCTTGGAGCGAGACATATTTTAAAGTTAGATTTGCACAGGGCTATTTTTATTCTGTGAGCTGATGTTGATGGTGTTCTGGGATTGATGGAGATTATTGGAGATCTAAAGACCCATAGTTCACTTCTTGGCATTTCCACTAGTTTCAGGAAAGGAAAGTTTACAACTACAACATCTGTACATTTATCAGGTCCTTGAAATAGGATCTCTGAGCACTCTTTTATCTCTTTGGGAAAAACACATTTCACCTGATTGAGTTAAGCAAGAAAAGGAAAGAAAGGAAACAGATGTTTCTAGGTTGACTACACTGTTCTGGACCTTGTGACAAAATATTTCATCATCTTTCAGAAATAAGCATTTTGAGTTATAATGCTTAATATAGGCATTGGACATGAAAAAGTACATGTGCTTTTCCTTTTTCCTTTTAGAAGCTTTCGGCATTGATGTCAAGAATCGTAGTTATTTGCTTGAAAGCCCTGGTGCTACTGGTGGCTGCTAAATAATTGGTTTCCCAGTGAGACTAAAACCACCCAGAGTGGCATTTTTGTGCATGCTCCCCTCAACTCCTGCCCTTTAGTCTAGACTTCACTGCCCACTTTCACTAAACAAAAACACCAAATGGCTAAAAATGGCATATTTACTCTTTGGTCACAAACTCATTCAGAAATCAACAATAGCTTTTATTTGCTTTATTTGGTGATAGTATTTTTTCTGGCTCTGCACAAGGACAGATAGTGGAGGGATTGTAAATCTCAGTATCCCAGTTAAAGAGTCCCTGCCGTTGAAATTCCTTGCCATTGTCATTTTTTTTTTTTCTTTTTTAAGTATCCTTCCCATGAAGATAGAAAGATGTTTTGAAACCAGTTGTATTTCTTGTTGTATAAGCAGGACCTCAACAGTTAATAAGCATTGATGTTGATTTGAAAATTGATTTATGGGGGGGCTTTATTCTTGCATGTGCATATGAAGCTCACAGTCAAGTGAGAAAAACTACCTTCTTCTGATGGTAGGTGTTAAAAGTGAGATGTTATGAAACAGTCTCTATCATACCACTTTTTGTACTTGTTTGGGGGGGGGTACAGGAATTTCCAGGACTTTCAGGTAAGGCTGAGTTCCATTTTTGCCTCAGCCTTGTTTGCAAACCCTTCTGTGACCCCAGGACACCAGTGGGAATAAGTAGTACATGGATCCTCTACATGCTGCATGCTTCTGGTTTCTGGCATGATGCCCTGATGACATCACTGTGTCTAATAGAATCATGAGAACTGTAGCACTGTTTTTGGGAATCACTGATCTTTATAGGCCTCAGTTTCAGACACTTATTCTCTGTGGTAATGTTGTTAACTGAACGTTATTCATTTTACAGATTATCTGTCCCAAATTCCTTATTAACACATTGAAGCAAATATGTGGTTTTGCCACTTACTCACACGCAGCTCTTAGAATATTGTATTCTCTCTCTTGGGGGGAATGAAAGTATTTTTGAGAAAGATTGCCAAATCTGACTCTTTTGAGGGCCTTGATTCAAAAGCACTTGGATGACTTATAAAAAGAATTTATAACTAGGTCTTACAGATTGAGTAAGGGTAGCTTCATGATTCAAACTGACTCGGTCATTGTGATCTAGAGCAGTGATTCTGAGGTGATGCAGATATGGGTAGACCATTTCAATTGGAAGAACTC